TTGAGTTAGTGTGTCCAGTACAAACCAAGAGGCATATATATTTTCCATATGAAGAACTATAAACCTCCTTTTGCCCACGACGGTATAAACGTCCAGAACACACAGGGGCTGTGGCTTCACTGACCAGGCTCAAGCCCAGACTGGACTTGTAAGGCTCTTGGCACCTACGTTCTTGTTTTTATGATGGATTTTCCCATCAGTGAATTACACGCAGCTTTTTTCCACAATAACTACAGCCAAATAGGCTGAGTCACTGGGACCAACAGTCTTTGTCTCATTTCCCAGAGATTTGTTTTCTTGTTTAGCAGAAGGCCCTAGATTGCAGTGAGCAGGCTGGTCATCAGGGTGGGAGTGAAGCGATTACTTCTCCAGAGGTCAGCTGTTCCGAGAAGCTGCGGGCTCCTCTGGGAGAGAGAAGGAACCCTTTCCTCTGAGAACCTGGAGTGAGCAGGTGGGCACCAAGGTCTTGTGGGGCTGTGACATGTGCCTGCCCTCGGCTCTGTGTGACCACTGGGCAACCAGCCAGCGTGCGTCTATTTGTGGGTAAATGGACCTGCTAAAAATAAGCAGGCAGCTATTTCATTCCAGCAGATTCAGAATAGCCTCCCCACCAACCCTAAGCCAGGGCTCGGCACCCTTTTCTTTGAGGGGAGGCCGGGGCTGCCTGCATGGCCTGGGCCCCAGGAGTGGGGATGCAGGGAAGCCACCTTCCGTTAGCTCGTTGTGAGAAGGCTTTTGGACCCACACTGTTAAATGCCACTTATATTTCGAGAAGTTTGGGTTAAAGAAGAAAAAGAGGGCTGGGAGAGCCACTCAAGAGTCTGTTTGGGGAAGAAAGGTAGGAGAGAGCCTGGTAAGGTGGCCCTGTCTGAGAATTCAAGAAAAGCGGGAACGTTCCTCACCACCAGACCAGGCCTACCTGTCTACATAAAGCAGAGGAAATTGCTTATCTGTCGATTCACAGAAAGTCTGTTTACCTGAGGTGGGATTGTCTCGGGTAGCATTCTGGGAACTGAAGGGCTAAGGAAGTGGTGGGGCTTCAGCCGCTGGAGCTCTCTGTGAGCTGCCTTCAGGAACCCGACCAGGCTCTCACACCGCCCATGGGTGGGGCGGCTGCTGATTCCAGGGGCTCTCGGCTCTGTTCACGGCTCTGTTCACGGTGGAGAGGGCTTGTATCTAATCACAATCCCCTGGTGGCAAGGAAAAAATAAACCATTTCAGCCCTTCCTGTCTGAGGCTCTCCTGCCTCTTACCTCAAGGGCCTAGAGCCCTTCAGCGCCCCTCAGCTCTGTCCCCAGCGGCAGTGTCGGGGGCGGGGCTCTGCCTGGAGGCCTGTGGACATTGGCTCTGGCTCCTCAGCCCAGGGTCTCTCAGCTCTAGTCCAGCGTGTGAGTGATAGGCACTCGGGACCCAGGTGGGACATAGGATTCTGGGGGTTGGGTGACAGGTGTCAGGATAGCAGTGTTAAACGCCTTCGGCAAGGCCCTCCTGGCACAACAGGGGCACTTGGCTAGGAAGCGGTACAGAAAGTTTCTTAAGCCATAATTAGCAGAGTAGCTCCAGCAGCCTGTCTGCAGGGGGCTGCAGATGGTGGGTCTGGGGGCTTCGAGCCTCAGCCTCTGGGAGCAAGCTGGGCTGGCAAGCTGAGGTGGGTGAGCGGTAGCGGTGTCCCTGTGAGCTACAGAGTAGCAGGCTAGGAGCACGCACAGTGGCCCCAGGCAGCTGTTCTGTGTTCAGTGTAAACTAGGACTGGGGGCAGAGCAGATGAAGTGGGTGGAGGCCGGTGACACACAGGCCAGGGTCTAGGGTGTGGTATGGATCTCTGGGGGTGCAGGACCAAAGCCAGGCTGCGACATTTGAGTGATGAGCCCATTCTTGCTATCTCTGGTGCCAGACCCTTGGATCGACTTACTTCCCAAGTGGAGGGGGATGGTTTCCAATGTTTTGAGAGGTAGTTTAAGGGGATAGCCACTCCCCCCTTAATACACACACACACACACACACAATTTGTGTGTGTGGCCTTGGGCCCTTGGTGTGTAAAATGGGAGACTGCCCCCTTTGGCTTGTTAAGACATAGGATTCTTTTTGACCTCTACTCCATTCCATTTAATCTTTTTCTTGACGTCAGAGAATTGCTAGAATACTGTGGGAATCACAACTATACACCCTGCTGAAATAGGATTGTCTAGTTAATAAGGAACCAAAATCTAAATTTACTGACAAGAAGAAAACCTAGGTTCGGACACCAGCCCCACTTCCTGTTGCTTATGACCTGTTGGGTGGGACCTAATTCCTTGAAGGCTATGTTTCCTGTATACTATCTTATCCTGAAAGCAGTCTTCCCCCATAGCCTCTTTTCCTTCTCAAATTTTATTTACTTTCACGTGAAAGACATTGAACACAAAGCACATATTCCATAATCTACCCGTTTTGGGGGTGTGTGCAAGTTGTTAGAATAGCGATTCTCCAACGTCACTGCACACTGGCGTCACCTCGGTTAACAAACTTGGTACCTGGATCTCACCCTCAGAGATTCTGATTTAATTGATTTGGGTGCTCTCAGGCTTTTAAAAGCATTCCAAGTGATGCAAAATGTACAGCTAAGTTGGAGAACCACTGTGAGAGAAACTATAAAAAAGTCTCGCTTCCCAAAAGAAGGAAGGAAGGCTATCCATTTTTGATAAGATCCCAGTTTTACCGGGGGATTGTGTGGACCCAGACATGACATGCACATGGTGTTCTACAGCCTTTATTGTCTGCATCCCAACATGCTTTCCATGTCAGTAATGTGAAATTAGCTTCTCTAATACTGGTGTGTCTATGGGGTCTACAATATATTTAGCGGTGATTCCTCTGCATTTTGTTTCCCGTTCTATCCCAGGGAGCATTCTTATGTAGACTTCTGCCTATGCAGAGTTTCTTCCTCTTTTTCCCTCCCTCTTTTCCTCCCTCCACTTTAAGGAAAAGATTCTAGGTGTGGGGTTTTAGGGTCATAGGGTATGGTCATAAAGTTTTAAGAGCAGTAGGAGCTTCCCCTTTCCTAGGCCCATACAATGGCTTATCCCCGCAGATTCATTAATTAGTAGATTCCAGATTTAATGTGGATAAAACTTGAGGTCCATTCCTTTGGCTGTCTAACCTTGAGTTCTTTTTTATTTTTATTTTTTGAAATTTTATTTATTTTTAGAGAGGGGGGAGGGAGGAAGTAAGAAAGGGAGAGAGAAACATCAGTGGGTTGCCTCTCATCTGTGCCCCATCCAGGGACTGAACCTGTAACCCATACTGGGAATCAAACTAGCGACCTTTCGCTCTGTGGGAACCAACTGCGCCACAGTGGTCAGCGCTAACTTTGAGTTCTTTAAACCTTAAAAATGGTAATACATTCCAGACTAGGTGGCTGAAGAGAGGGTGTGAGGTTCCTCATTTGAATCTAAAGCTGTAAGGCAGCATCATTGAAGCTTTCCACTTGCAGGGGTTCATACAACGTCTTCTGAGCCCTGGCTACTGCTTAGCTCTGCTTTGTATTGTCCAGTCCTTTTGCTTCACCTTCAGATATTAGCAGGAAGGGTTATCTGTAGAGATGAGGGACTTTCTGGAGATGACTTCCTCCCCACCCCATCTCCCACCCCCATCACCTAGAGAAGCACTTTTCCTAGGACCTTTACAAACATGCTTGTGAATCCTTTGGGAGTCTTGTTAGAGTGCAGCTTGTGGTGCAGGAGGTCTGGAGTGGGACTGAGATGCTGTATTTCTAGTAGGTTCCTAGGTTATGGTCAAGGCCGCTGGTCCATAGATTGTGCTTGGAGAAGCAAAGTCCTGGAGCAGTGTTCCCCAGCCTCAGCTGGTCATCAGACTCACTGGAGGAGTTGTATGCTCTGCTTTTGCAAGAAAACTTTTAGATAAGTAGACAAAACCATGTAAAAGTTGGTGAAGCATTTACAACTAAGCACAAACCCAAATTAAGGTATAATTTACCATGTCAGTGGAGGATTTTGGGTTTTAAGACTTAACGATTTCTGCCTATGGAATAAAATATGCTGGCATGGGAGGCACCGAATACAAGCATTCTAGAATAGTCCGTCACATAACTTCTAATGAGAGCTAACCCTGCTCTACAAATACATACTACATAGCTCAGCTAATCCTTATACCAGTCATCCTATATGTTCATCTTACAGATGAAAAAAATTGAGTTTCTCTCTCCATTACATCTCTACTGCTGCCTTCTAGGCCTTTATCATTTCTCCTTTCCTGGCTCTAACTGACCTAGGTCTCCGGTGCCTTTCATTCCATATACTGTTTCTCCTGCTCCCAGAATCACCTTCAAACACAGTTTGGTGTGTATGCCTTCTAGACCTGTGCTGGTTCTCTGTTGTTTGCAGGATAAAGTCGAGACTCTAGTTCTAGGACTTGATTCTCCAAGCATGGCCTGTATCTCCATGCCACTGTGTGTATTTTGCTGGTCCCTTCCCCTGGAGCACCTCCCTATCCTTTTTGGACTCTTATTCATTCATTGTTCTAATTCCCTCTCGCAGTGTAGCTAATGTTTCATTGACTCATGGTTTTGTGGGTGCATGTAGGGAACATATGTACTTGTGGATTCAATGGGTGTTTAAAAATGTTCCTATGCTACCTGAATAGATAAGATTTCTGGGAGCTGAGAGAACTAAAACACTAAACATAACAAGCTCCTTGGGGGGGACATAGGGAGAATTTGGCATTGACAAGTGGTGAAGAAGGGGTTTGTTCAGGAGAAGGTTCAGCTTGTTTCAAGGGAGTGCGTGTGGATGAGGGAGCAGACGGGGGCGTCCCTTCCTGCCCACCCGCCTTCAGAGGCTCACCCGGAGCCGTGGGGGTGAGGGCTGGTGCTCCTCTCGGGGGCAGGGAGGGGAGAGCAGACAGCTCTGCTGTGCTGTCCACGTTTTTTCCTGTGCAGTCGCGTCAGGATCCTCCTACCAAGCTCTCACAGCATCTCTCTCTTGCTCTCTTCCTGCTCCCAGGTATAACTACTTCCAGCCTCCAGGATGGCCATCCAATTCCGTTCACTTTTCCCCTTGGCATTGCCTGGAATGCTAGCACTCCTTGGCTGGTGGTGGTTTTTCTCTCGTAAAAAAGAGCACGACAGCAGCCACGACAAACCGGTGGGGGCCAGCGCTATGGAGCTGAGGACCGACCCTGCCATCAAGGAACTGGTCCCTGTGGAAGATCCCTGCCCTGCAGTAGAGCCCACACCCCCCAGTGTCACACAGCCAGCAGCAAAGGAGCTGGCCACCACGTGCAAGCCTTCCACAGAGCCCCCAGCCTCGCTGCGGGCACATCCAGCCTGTCGTAGAGCCGAGTCCTCGGGCAGCCTTCCTAACGCCACAGACGTGGGATTTCGACTAGGAACACACAAAGATGACAGCGCAAGGGTGGAACCAGCCCTCACTGGTGACAAAACCAAGTCTGTTCCTCTAGAGTGCTCCCACCCCCCACCAAAGTCTGTCCTGTTCCCCCAGGGAGCAGCTGAGGTGTGCAGGCAGGGGGCAGGGCGTCGCTCGCAAGGCCAGCCTGCGCCCCCCCCAGAGAAGCCTGGCCCTGGGGAGAAGGTGAGAGAGGCGGGAGCGGAAGGCACTGGCGATGCAGTGTTGGGAGAAAGTGTCCTGGAGGAAGATGTGTTGTCCCCGGAGCATGGCTCTACACCACAGAGCAGCAAGGCACCCATCCTGGCTCCCTTGGGAGGAAGGGGAGAGGAAGGGAAGAACAGCCTGCCTCAGGCGGATGGGGACACTGCAGGGAAGTTGCTGAGTAGCTTCATTAAATCGGCTCAGGTGGAGCCGGCCAAAGATGTCGAAACACCAGCACCCCAGGGCAGAGGTGGCCGAGCCTGGGGAGGAGAACTGAGCAAAGAGGAAACTGTGGATAAAAATGATGCGATTGAGCAAGCTGCCTTCCAGATTATCTCCAAAGTGATCTTGGAGGCCACTGAAGAAGTGCTGGCCACCACGACGGGCAAGATTGCAGGTTGCCTGAATCAGGCCTCAGCCGGTCAGCTCCAAGGGCAGGAGGAGAGCTGTGCCCCTGTCTGCCAGAAAACTGTCCTTAGGCAACATGCCTCAGAGCCCACTCCAGCCCCAGGAGAGGTGGCCGCAGTGGAGGCGGCCGCAGTGGAGGCGGCCGCAGTGGAGGCGGCCGCAGCGGAGGCGGCCTTGGGCCCATCAGATGCTACCCTCCCCTCACCAGGCCTGCCAGCAGAGGACCTGCCACCACCAAAGACCTATGTGAGCTGCTTGAGCAGCCCTCTGTCCAGCCCCACCAAGGACATGAAGCCAAAGAACTCTGTGCACCACATCTCCCTGATCCCCTGCCCACCATCAGCCAATGCCCTTGGAGAGTCGCTGGACAGTGCATGTGTTGTGGCGGAAGATGTCGGCTCTGTCGCCTGCTCGTCCGACAACAGCCAGGGTGTCCCTTCAGTGGCCTCCTCCGGGCAGTGCGCAGATTCCGTCAGCACTTCAGGGCTCGAAGACTCGTGTACAGAGACCACCAACTCAAGCCCCAGGGACAAGGCCACCACCTCGCCGCTGCCACAAAGTACTGTGCCCTTCAGCAATGGGGTGCTGAAGGGGGAGTTGTCAGACTTGGGGACTGAGGATGGATGGACCATGGATGCGGAAGCAGATCATTCAGGAGGTAGGAGGGTCCTCTAAGTCTGTTTCTCTGGAGTGTTCCCTTGCACCCCCAGTTTCTGTCCCGTTCCCCGACGGAGCAGCTGAGGTGTGCAGGCACCAGGCAGGGCGTGGCCCGCAAGGCCAGTCTGCAGCCCCCACAGAGAAGCCTGGCCCTGGGGAAAAGGCCTCCTTTATGCAGGAGGAAAGGCTGCTGGTCCGCCTCTCCCTCTGCTGCTTCTGCAGTGATGGTGCTCTTTCACTCTGTCCCAGCCGCTGGCAGAAAGTCAGGGCACAGGGTAGAGCTGGTGGGTAACTGAAAAGTTAGGCTGCCCTGAAGCCCAAAGCCACGGGAGCTGTAACTTGATCCGTCAGCAGGTGACCCTCCCCAGCCCATCTGAAGGAACCAGATCAAAGTTGGGTTCATTGACTAACCTGAGTTTGCCTCTTCTAAACTAACCTATTAATTTTCTTTTTTAAATGGAGAGAGGCCTCCTTAGCTTTAATTCCCTTGAGTACCAAGAATGGTGTGGGCTTGTTTAATGGTTTATTTCCTTTTAATCATGTGCTTGCTCCCCTGTCTTCACCTGCTTCTCTTCTCCAGAAGCGCTTTCCTGGTAAGTGCCCAGGGAAGGGCCCCTGCTTTGCGCTCCCGTGGGAGGCTCGTGCGCTCCCGTGGATCACTGGCACATACTCCTTTGCAGAGCGCCTCAGCCATTTTCTTTCTGTGCAGCTGCAGGTCCACCCCCAGGAAAGAGGGACACTTTGGTAACGAAGTGTCCGCTGGGTTTTTCGCCTGCTGGCCCCAGCGTAGACAATTCAGACCGCTAACTTCAGGTCAGCAGCTCCTGGCTCCTGTACAGTTGCCATGGGGCGTTTTCATTGATTGCGTGTGAAGAGGCCACAAATTCCCTGCGTGGGTTTCTAACTTGCCTGTCCTGGAACCTTTCCCTATCATTTCACCTCCAGGAGGGTTGGGAATGTTTCCTGGGAATTCAACACTTTCAGCAGCACCTGGTCTGTACCACACATTGCATTTTTTCATCTCCATGATGCTATTGATTATGACACTACTGTTTTTTATGTACCTTAAAAAGAAAAGAAAAATGCTAACGATCAGGAGTGTAGAAGGCCAGAGACTGCAAGATGCACCCTAACTTTAGAGATGTTAAAATGTGGGGCTTATTTATGTATTTATCCTCATCCAGCAAGGACATGAATATTGATTTCAGGGAGGAAGGGAAGAGAAGGAAAGAGACAGGAGAGAAATGTCGATGCGAGAGAGAAACATTCATCAGTTACCTCTTGCACACGCCCTGACTGGGGACCAAACCTGCAACCCAGACGTGTACCCTAACTGGAAATCGAACCCGTGACCCTGCAGTGCATGGCATGACACTCCAAACAACCGAGCTATACCAGCCAGAACTTAACGTGGGGCTTTTTAAAAGGCTTCTTAAAATGAGTGAAAAATCTCTTAAGAACAAAGGAGTTTCCCTTTGCCTCTTGCCCCTCAGGTTAATTAGCAAGCCCTCCGGCCTTGTCATGCCAACTCTCGATTGATAGCAGCTTCTCAGATGTGTTGCAGGCTTCTGAATGTAGGCCTCGCAGAAGAGGAGGCTGTGACAGCGTGACAGCGTGGTGCTGGATGGGGACGTGTGGGGACGGCAGATAGAAGCTTGGTAGTACCGATCGCTGAGCGAGCACCCGGTCGTGCCAAGCGCCAGGCCGTGCCTTGCCCGCACTCGCACTCTCCTGGTAGCCCTGCCTGGTGTGTGAGGAAGGTGAAGCTTAGAGGGGGCCAGCGATCGCCCAGCTGAGGAAGCTGGGGGCTGGCCTTTGCCTGCAGCCTGTTAGAGTCCTGGTGTGCTCTGAGCCACCTCTGGGTGTCATCGGGGTGGAGGGTACCGTTCAGTCTTGCTCTGTCGGGCAGAGGCTGGGGGTCTCTGGTGTTAAGGGGTGAGGTCACTTTGAAGGTGACTTAGCTGAGAGGGAATCTGTTAAGCCTTACTCCTCCGAGTCCAGGCAGTACGTAGGTTGCTTGGCAAAGGATAATGCCCAGGGTTTGGTGAAACCATGTACAAGTTAACCTGATGAGTAGTATCTCAGGATTGATGTATTTCTGGCAGTTGAGTTGTCCATTTTTAAACCAGAGCCACTTAAGCTAGTTTGGCCCCCTGTTTTTCTGTGATGGTCTCCTTGGCACACTTGATCCAAGAGTGGAGCAGCCCAGGTCATGCCAGACTCCTGCTGTCCACATTGCTCTCCTGGGAGTGAGCTTTAGCTCAGCTGTTGGACCAGGGGGTTAAAGACCCGCCCGAGAGCCCAGAAGAGCATTCAGAGTTGCATAAGTGGAGACTGAGCAGAGGGAAAGGAGGATCTCCTTCCTGCATCCACTTTTGGCAGGGCCCTGAATGGGGATAAGAATGGAGTCCTTAGGACAAACCAGCGAGGGTGGACTCTTCCTAGCTCTGCTTGGCTAAAGGCCACTGGCTGTGAGCTCAGGTGGGAGATCTTGGGACCAAGGGACTCTTGGTCTGAGGGGCTGGCATTACCAGAAGGGTGGGGACTGGTTGTGACCAGTCTCCTTTGGGGGCCTCTACCTAATCCTGGGCTCTTGGGATCATGTGGACCTGTTGGCCCCTCGTCTCCCCCGCCCCATGGACTCCCCCTTCCTGGGCCGGTGCCTTCCCAGTTTACCACTTGTCTGCTCCAGCAGCTGTGGCTGGGCGTGACTGGGCATGGCTGCCAACTGAGCAAGTTGGACAGGCTAAAATTAGGTGTATCTACATCCCCAGCCCTCTTTCTGTGGGGTTGTTCTGAGCCTTCTAGGCTTCGAGTTGACAGGCACCTGCCAAGCTTGAGGAGGGGGCGGGGTGGCGGGGCCTCCCTGGAATGTGCGTTTGGGAGTTGTGCATCAGTAATTGCACTGAGCTGACTTTTGGGTGTCTGTGCATGCCGCTTCCTCCCCTGCAGGTTCGGACGGGAACAGCATGGACTCGGTGGATGGCTGCTGTGGCCTCAGGAAGACGGACAGTTTCCAGAATGCCCAGGCGGGCTCCAACCCTAAGAAGGTCGACCTCATCATCTGGGAGATTGAGGTGCCAAAGGTAAGGGCTGTAGGCTCAAAGTTCCCCTGGGCCAGGGTCATTGGGTTTAAGGGGCGGGGCCCAGCGAAGGGAGTCAACCAGGAGAAGCTTCCTGGGTGACAAAAGGCTGAAGGGAAAGGGAACCCTCCACTTTGCCAAGCTTCAGAGAGCTTCCTGCATGGTGGAGTTTCTCCAAGTGCCTTTGGGAGCGTCCTGTTCTTACCTTCTTCGAACTCCCAGGCCTGCTCACCTCCACTGGGCTTTTCTTGTGTGTCTCAGCATTCTGACCTGTTCGGAGAGGCTAGCAAAACCAGATTGAGGACATGGACCAGCCAGGAGTCCCTTTGCTGTGTGCTGCTCAAGCTCCCCGATGCAAATTATTCTATAATTGAGCGCAGCATAAATCCATATTTTAGAAAATGTGAGAAGTATAGAAATGTATGAAGAAAATGAAAATCAGCTCTAATCCTACCCCTGAGAGTGACTGGGAAGACTTTATTTCCTTCTTGTACCCTGTGGTTTTTAAACAAAACTGAGATTGTTGCTTTAATTAATGCTTTTAAATATTTAACAATTTAATTTTCCTGTGCTATTCTTTGAAAATGTAATTTTAACTGCATTATTCATTGTGCGAATGTCAATTTACTTCACCAGCCCCCAATTCCAGGGTGCGTAAGTGGTTTCTAGCTTCTTGCTGTTCTCACTTATAACTTATTACTTTGGTCTTGATGTTTGTCTCTGGGGCTCAGAAATAATCGGCGGACCGCATTCTCCCCGGGCACTTAGCTCCCGGCCACGCGGAGACTTGGCTTGGTTTGCATGCTGGGTCAGGTGGGGCGCTCTAACACGGTGCTGGCTCCCTCGGCCGTTTCCTCCGCCAGCGACCCTGAGGGCCGCCCTGCCCCCTCTCCGTCAGGGGCTGCAAAGGGCACACCCGAGCAGCTCTGGGCACTGAGGGACCAACTCTCCAGTAGGCCCTGGGGATGGGCTGGTTTGGGACGGATGCAGAGCTTTTCTCACATCATGGCTAAGTTTGGCTGCTTCTGTGTGCCTTGAACTCTGGTGTGTGGGCACTTCTGCGCGCTGTGGCTCTGACGGCTCCAGCCTGCTGTCAGTTGGCAGCAGGGGCCCAGGGTTTCTTTCTTTGATTATCAAATTGAGCGCCTGTGTCTTTGGTCCTGAGTAGGCCCGAGGAGGTGGAAGAGTCGTAAATCAACCCTTGTACTGTTGAAACATCTCATAGTCTGGATTTGGGAGAACATGCTGCCTTTGCTGCTTTCTGGCTGTGGGCCACATTGTCGAGGGATGAAATGGGAATGCTGAGTCCCGAAGCCAGACTTGGTAGTGCAGCTGCTTAGGAGCTGTGTGATGCGGGGCAAATTTCTTAACCTCTCTGAGCTTGTTTTCCTCATGTGTAAAACGGTGCTAAAAAGGTATTCATTTCATAGGTACTATGAGCACATGCAAGTGCTTAGAATAATGCCAGGGAAAGGGGTGCTTACATAGTAACAGTTAATAATATGTTTGAATCTCACCTTGTGTAAAACAAAGGTAGGGCTTTGGGAGTGCAGGGACTTGGTTTCCCATTAACCAACTCTCTTTCTCTTTCTCAGCACTTAGTCGGTCGGCTAATTGGCAAGCAAGGGCGGTATGTGAGTTTCCTGAAGCAAACATCTGGTGCCAAGATCTATATCTCAACCCTGCCTTACACCCAGAACATCCAGATCTGCCACATAGAAGGTCAGTGGCCAGGGCTGCCCTGTGTTTTGTAAGGTTAGTGGGTTTCAAACCCCTTTAGATGCCTTTCTTCCTAAGGCAAAATTTAGCACCTTAAAGATGCACTTGAACTCTAGGAGCAGTCCTGTGGAATGATGGTTTCACTGTGTTTGTCTTACCCACTATGACTCCTCCCTCCTCCCTCATGTAGGCTCTCAGCATCATGTAGACAAGGCGCTGAACCTGATTGGGAAGAAGTTCAAGGAGCTGAACCTCACCAACATCTACGCGCCCCCACTGCCTTCACTGGCACTGCCTTCTCTTCCAATGACTTCTTGGGTGAGCATGCTCCTGGGGGACCAGGACTTTCTGGGCCCCTTTCCCCCTAACCTGCCCCAAACAAGAAACTCCAAGACTGTGGGCCAATAGCTCACTGATGCCTGTGCCCTCTCACCTCTGCCCTCCACCGGTCAGTTCTGCCTCTAGCCCGTGTCCTCTGGGAAGGGGTCAGGGGCTGGAGTGCTGGTGAGAAGCCAGAGGCCTCTTGGTCCCTGATTGGAAGGACCACTCTCCCTGGCTCTGCCACCTGGGCACCGTTTATGTTCGACGCATTTTCCAAGAAAGGACGTAGTCCAGGAGACTGGGAGGGTCCAGACTGGTGTGGGACCCCTTGAAGCTGGAGCTCTGTCTGGGTGGGGCCTACTGCTGTGGACTCAGGTGGGCTTGTGATGGGCCATTCCTTACCCCTAGTTGTGGCAGGTCTAGTAGCGGTGGCCTTGGTGAAGCGGGAAGGCCCTTTTCCATCCCGCTTCTCTGGAGGTACCTAGAGTATAAAGGAGAAGCAGTAACCCCCAGCAGACCCCGGAAGCCATGTGACTCTTTGGAGGTTACCCTGGGAGTTTGGCAAGGGGTGGAGCTGACATCTCGGGGAGGCCTGTGTCCTGGGGGGTTGATTGCAGGGTCTCTGGGGCCTGTCACTCATGTCCTTTAGTGTATCTCCTGCCCTGTTTGGGTTTCATCTCACTGAGGCTACAGTCGCGCACCGCTTAATGACAGGGACACATCCGAGAAAGGTGTCGTTAGGCAGTTGTGGTGTTGTGCGGACATAGAGTATAATCACATAAACCTAGATGGTGTAACCTACTGCCCCTAGGCTGTATGATGTACCACCATCGCATACGCAGTCTCTCATTGACCAAAGCGCCCATTACAGTGCATGTGACTAGGCTGCATTTCACACATGGGCTGAATGTGCTGCCTGAAGAAAATTGCCTGCCTGACTTTTGTTCAGGACAGTGGACTTTTGGGTTCTGTATCTTGCCCCCTCCAGAAACCCTTGTGCCTTGGGGGAAGGGATGGATGCCCCTTCCTTTCCCGTGGATATTTGTGAGTGGGTTGAACCTCACTCCATGCTTCATTTCTAAATCAGTGTTTTCCTCAGGAGGCTTGGCCCCCACCCACTCTATTTTTAAATAATTGAGTGGTTGGTGTGGCTTCCTTCCCTTGTTCTCTTTGTGGCTCTGTGGGGCTGGAGAGAAGGTCCCAGATGCCTTTCAACCCACAGCCCCGGGGGAGGGGTGGAGGCCAGGACTCTCAGCGAGAGCCTCTTATGCCACCTGGCTGGAAGGTGGATGAGACTCTCTGCTGTGTCCAAAGCACCCAGATGTTTCCTGTAGCCTAGCATTGGGAAAGCTCGTATCTAAGGACAGGTCTTCTGGAGGCTAGTCTTGGCCTCTCCCAGGGCCTTTAATGCGGGGCCTGACCACTACGCAAACCTACATTCCCAGTCCCAGCTTGGGGGTGGGTTGGGAGGATGTCAGTGGAGCCTAGAGAAGAGGAAAAATGTCCTGCACTGTTGCAGACTTCGACAGTGGACCTTTGCAGGCAGGAAGGCGGAGAGATGCTGTTAAACCCTAAGCTCTTGGGGTCAGCAGTAGGCCCGAAGGTCTGAGGGCCTGCCCACCCTGGCACCTTGTCTCAGTGGCTGCCTCACTCCCGTTCGCCTTCCCCAGGCTTTACAGACTCCAGGGGGCAAGGGACGGAGAAGCTCTGGCTGATGGGCCTTGCCCAGGCCAGTGGGAGGCCCAAGCAGACCCTCCACAGACTGCTTCTGGGAGCCTCCCTACCCAGCCCTGCATGAGGCCACCTCTAGTCACGACTCATGGCATCGCAGGACAAGGGCCACTGTGGTATCCAACCACCTTCCATGTTAAAGTAGTTTTCCTTGAACCCCTACCATCTGGGTTGCCCTGCTCTTTTCAAAGGGCTGCCAGTTCAGAGACTTGCCCTGGGGCCCCGGGGCCCAGCCCAATGTGCAAAGGAGCGCTGCAGCGCCTGCTGCCCCCTCCCCCCACAGCTCATGCTCCCGGATGGCATCACTGTGGAGGTGATCGTGGTCAACCAGGTCAACGCCGGGCACCTGTTTGTGCAGCAGCACACGCACCCCACCTTCCATGCACTGCGCAGCCTGGACCACCAGATGTACCTCTGCTACTCTCAGCCTGGAATCCCTACCTTGCCCACCCCCGTGGAAAGTAAGTGCTATCCTGGAGGCCAGTGGGAGCCCTGGGCTTGGGCCAGGCCAGGGAAGAGGTGTTGGGGTGGCCTGTTCTGCCCCTTGTCTTGACCGGGAGGAGGCTCTTCTGGGATGCTGCCTGGGATCAGCGTCCCCGAGTGCTTGCTGCCGGCAGGGAGTTACTCTGGGCTGAGTTGCCTGCTTAGCCCAAGCTGCTGTCTCCACAGGCTCACAGAGCCATGGCGTTGGAGTGGAGTTTTGACACGTGGATTCAGACCTCAGCTCTACCTCTTACCTGTTGAATGGGTGTGATACCTGCCTGTACCAGGGATTGGGGTTGGGTGCTGTGTGTGTTACCTGTGAAATATCTGATGCAGATCAGGTTCCCTTGGAAGCTCCTTGAGGGCATCAGACTCCTGCAGTGGGTTTGGGTCACCTCCATTTGACAGATAAGAAAACAGCCTCTGAAGTCATGTGACCTGCCTAAGTGATACTGAGCAGGAGCTGGGACCTGAACCCAGCTGGATGCTGGAGAGCTCCTTCTCTGTCACTGTTATCTTGGTTGCCCTGTTAGCAGGAATCGAATGTCCAAACATCTCTCCTCCCATCCCCATCAGAGACTCCGAATCTACAGCCCCCTGATGGGCTTTAAGCATTAGGAAAACCTTTGGACTATCTGTAGCATTTGGTATGGTTTTTCTTTTGGAGGAATAAAAATTTTAGTTTTTGTCAGATTCTGTAATTTTGCCTGAACCCAGTAGTGAAGACGGAAGTGGAGGCCAAGAGGTGGCTGCACGAGGGGCTGCCTTTAGGGATCTGGACGCAGCGTGGTCAGCTGTGTCACGGGGACAGCTGCCACGGGTGCCATGGCGGCCAGCCTCCCCTTTGATTCAGTGCGCCCCGCCCCTGCTCCCCCGGGGTGGGGTTGGTGACTCCTAGGACCCCTGCTCTCTGGCCCTGTTGGCCGTGCAGGCTGTCCCTGCCCTCAGCGCCTCCCTGAAGCAAAGGCGAGAGGCGGCGGGGCTTAGGCCTGCCGGTCCCTGCTGGTCAGCCCTCCGTCTGGGCTGTCCTGGGCTGGAGCAGACCCTCCACACCAGGCCACCGAGGTTGGCTACACTTGGAGGTTTTTGAGTCTTTCTAGGACTTTCCCTTAAGAATACAGGTCCCCATTCCCTGAGTTATGTATTTCCCTGTTTATTCTGGTTTATCTGTGTCCATCGTAGGCTTCAGTAAGTGTCAGAGTAAATGGGTCTAGATGGACAGCTTTGGGGATGGCCCACATGCTAGGCTGAATTTTCTGTGTCCGGGTCCTTCTGTTGGCCAGTCTTGAGCTCTGGGGGGGCTTTGGGGACCCCTTGCCATTCAGGTCCCCCGTAGTTTGGAGGTGTAGACCTCTGAGAAGCAGTGTGGGAGGTGGGTAGTTTTGACTGGGCAGCCCTTCGTGCCCTGCCCTGGCCCAGGCTCATCCACAGGCTTTCTTCCCGCCCCGCAGTAACTGTCATCTGCGCGGCCCCCGGTGTGGATGGTGCCTGGTGGCGAGCCCAAGTGGTGGCCTCCTATGAGGAGACCAACGAAGTCGAGATTCGCTATGTGGACTATGGTGGCTATAAGAGAGTGAAAGTAGACGAGCTCCGGCAAATCCGGTGAGTCGAGGCTCCTCGCATGGGCACACGCCCTGCTTCTGAGGGGACTGATTTCTGTGCAGTCGGCTCAGCTCTGCCAAGCCCGGCACATGGGTTGCTTTTCCCTGCTCCCTGCTCTGCTTTCACAGAGTCTGATAGAAACAAGCTCCAAACTGAGCTAGAAAGGCCAGTCTTGTAGACAAATTCCCCCAGGTTTTCATATGGCAGGAAGACCCTCTGGGTCAGGCTTGTAGCAGAGCTGGCAGCCTGCATTCAGGAGTGTGGGGCGCTGAGGCCTGCTGCCCATCTTGGGTGCCTCTGCTCGGCTTCTTCCTGGGCTGCTGGGGTCACGGCACTACCAAGGTGAGTGTCAGCCTGGAGTGGAGTTGGCTTTCAAGTCTGTGTTCAATGTGTTCCTTTCTTGTTTTTCTAGGTCTGACTTTGTGACCCTGCCGTTCCAGGGAGCAGAAGTCCTTCTGGACAGCGTGATGCCTCTGTCAGGTAACAGGTGGAGGCCTCTGGCTGGGGAGGGACTGGGGGAGGTTTTAGAGAGAGGCCGTTTCTCTTTGCGAGCCTCATTTTCACATGGAGAGCTTATGCTAACACTGATCGCTGCCACCGTCAGTTTCTGACTGGTTGAGAGCTTTGGGCTGAGACCTGGAAGCTTGTATTTCCTGGTTCTTAGGTGAGACGAATGCTGCTGATCCATGGCCCACCCTTCCAGGTCCACTGCTCTAGACTTTATCCAGGCCTCCAACTTAGAGAGGCTTCCACCACTGGCGCCTTCCAGAACATAGTCGAGATCCGAAGTCCTAGTACCTGAGGTCAAGGGCAGGTATCGAGGCCACCGGCACTGCCCCGCTGGGCCTCAGCTTCTGGGGCACCGTGAGGACCGCACTAACACTCCCCTGTCTGCTGCAGTGTCGTAGGCTGATCGCATTGCCTGAGGGAAGGGGCTGGAAGTCTGATTCTGGGGAAGTTACTTAGCCTCGATTTCTTTTTTCCCCCTCTGGAAAATGGGGTAGCACCAGGTTTTCAGGGTGGCCAAGGGGATTCCATGAACCTAGAAACTGGGATGTGGATGCTGGTCAAGTAGCAGCTACTTATGACCAGGAGTTTTATATTTGCAGGTACTAGTTAGTTGATTCCATGCTTTAACCTCCCTGGATTTGCTCTGTCTGATCTTGTTCTTGTCTAAAGCAGTGAAATGCTTTAGAAACTGCTGTCTGGCTGCAGTCTTGCTGGCTACAATGCAGGGCAGGGTCTTTATTTTGTTTTTCTTCATCGCTCTTGCTCAGTCTTCCTCTCCATTTCTATCCATGTCAACAGTCTCTCCAGGCCCAGCTGAAACGCTCCCTCCTCCATAAGATGTTCCCAGACCTTCGTAAACCTGCCTTTCACATCCTTACCTTCTCTTGCCTTGGGCGTGTTCTTGTATGTAACTTTCATAACCTGGCGAGGAATGTGCCTCAGTGCCCTGCCTGCTGTCCTGTGGTGACTGCTCGCATTGGGTTGTGTGGCCACTGCCTGGCTTTGAATTCCACCTGCTCCGCTCTGGGAGCTGATTGACCTTCGCCGTCAACGTCTTGTCTTCCGTATTCTCACTTTTAAATAAGGGGTAACACCCGCCATCTTGCAGGGTGTTACTCATTCAGTGGAAGAACGCATCCAAGGTGCGCAGCCCAGTCAGCCCTCAAATAGGTGGTGGTGGTGGTGGTGGTGGTGGTATTCCAACTGAAGGCAGAGTTTCTGTCCCTCTGGTCCTCTGTCCCCGGTGGGTAGCGCGTAGTAAGGACCCTGAGTGTGTGTAGAGGCCTGGGCCCTGTTCCCGACATAGGTGGCTCTCCCAGATGAAGTTCTCAGGTCCCATGGCAGCCTCTGGGGCCTTCTGCTCGGAATACACCTGGAAGTTGTGTGCGCGACAGGAGTACCTTGCCTCACTGAGAGTCTAAATGCTGCTTTTCCTTCTCCTTCTAAAGATGGTGACCACTTCTCACCTGAAGCAGATGCAGCTATGAGCGAGATGACAGGAAATACAGCACTGCTGGCTCAGGTGCGTGGCTGGTGGGAGGGAGGCGGGGCCGGCTGGACAGGCTCTGTCGGAGGGGCCTCCTCCGGCTTCCGCAGTGCCCTCAGCCTCGCTTGTCACGCATCTGGGCTTCTTGGGAGCCGGCCTTTAAGTGCCTGCTTTCCTGTGGCTCCTGCCCTGGGTTAACAGCAGTCTTCACAGAGGTGCGTGGGTAACTTTCAAACATGCTGGTGTTTTTGTTTGTTTTCAGGTGACAAATTACAGTCCAACTGGCATTCCTCTGATTCAGCTGTGGAGTGTGGTTGGAGATGAAGTAAGTTCTGTCCTTTTTCCTTCTGAGTCACTGGCCAGCAGTTATGATCGATGTGGGGCTGGGGCTGGCATTGTTTCCTCTTGAGCTAATCAGAGGATGTAACTCTAGACCGGCGTCCCCAGGGGACATTGAGCAGTGTCTGGAGACGTTTGGGGTTGACACAGCTGGGAGTGGGTAGAGGGGCAGGGATGCTGCTAAACATTTTATGGTGCCCAGGCAAGTTCCCACAACAAAGAATCACCTGCGCCAAAAAGTGTCATGGGCCTGCTGTCTGCTGGGTTTTCCTCTCCTCCACCTCATGGTGTTAAAGCTTCGATTTCTTCAGTGCATTGGAAAGCGTGTCCTCATGCCAGCAGAACACAGGAGTACTCCCCCCTGTTGACCCAGAAAATGAGTCACAGTCTCTCCACCATTACTGTTGTACCTGCTGCCTGTGGTGGCCTCCTGGGACTGTAAAAGGGAGACTCCATGCCCGCTTGAGGAGTGACCCCTGGGAGCCGTGGGCAGAGCACTCAAGAGCACTTTCTTTTCCAGGTGGTGTTGATAAACCGGTCGCTGGTGGAGCGAGGACTTGCTCAGTGGGTAGACAGCTACTACACAAGCCTCTGACCCCTGACCCCACAGCCGCTTGGGTCTATTGCACTGTTGACATTGGGCTTGGCGCTCAAGGCAGAGACTTTACATCAGAATAACAAACACTGTCACTGTTGTCTTCCTCAGAAAGTCCTTACTCCCGCCCCCCCATATTATAGTCCTGTTGAGAAGGCGTTTTGTCTCTAAGACAAGGAAGGAGCTGTGCATTCTTTTTAAAGCCATAGGATGGTGTTTAATAAGCCAGTCAGCGTAACCTGGTTCTAAGCTGTTAAAGAAGAAAAACTGTGTTGACCAAGCTGTCCTGTTCCCCCTCCTCTCCATTCCTCTCTTCTTCCTTCCCACTTCCTCCTCCCCCAAACCAGCTGTAGCAGACAGGCCAAGGGGTGTGTTGCGTGTTTGAGAGGGTTTCTTTTGCTTCAAAATCTTTCTTCAGGGAGCAAGATGTGAACTGGCTAATTGGCATTAATTACTTGTACAGCTTGCATAAATGGATTTATGATGTTTAACCAGTTTTTATAAACTTGACCTAGGTCACTAAGAAGGCAGACTTTTTAATGCATATGTAAATACAAAGCAATGATACCTCTCTCTGGCCTTGGTCCGTGGGAGAAGCGAACTGTTTGTTATCTGGCCAAGCCTTGTTGTAATTTGTAACCATTTTCTATTTGTGCAAACTCTGTAAATATGTGTTTAGAAAATGTAATATTTTATACAAGATACACTGGAGAACAAAGGGAACTCACGGTCTTTCCACACACCGTGCGTCGGTGAGCAGAAGTTGCGGCCACCCGTGAGCTCTCCTGCTGGGGGCCCCCGCGGTCCTGCGTGCTGAACAGGGTGACTGCAGGGTAGGGGTTGTGATCGGGGATTGATTTTTTTTCTTTCCGTACCACTTTGTTTAAAAAAAAAAAAAAAAAAAAAGACAATTCATTGAATTATCAGAGATTGTGATCTGGGTGTTTTTTTTTCCCTGTACAAATTTGTTTAAAAAAAGAAAGCAACTCATTGAATTACCTTGCAGTAGTGTGTTTGATTCTTTTTCAGACTGGCTCCAGCAGTTGTGCAATTTAAAATAAATAACTGAAGCCTATATAAATCTTGGAGTGTATACACAGTGGCTCTGAGTGGAGCTGTTCCACGCAAAAAGGATTGGGGTGTACGGAGGTGGTTGTGCGTGTGCTGGGCTGGCGGTCCATGGCTCTCTGAAGACAGGGTAGCCAGAAATTTCCATCCAGCCTTTTCCTCTCCCAGCCCCATAAGGCAGCAGCAAGCATTCTCTGGCTTCCTCAGTGAATGTCTCAAATAGCCAGGCTCATGTTTAAAACACTGGTTTCCAGAATTCTTTGGTTATGCATTCTTAATAGATCTGTTAAGTGATTACCGCTGTAGTGGTAAGAATGATATAAACTACGCACACATGAGCATGGTGAGAGCCGAGAGTAAGTCTTGACTCACCAGTCCGTCCTCTTACAGGCAGGCTCAGGCCCTTTAGTCCAGGCCTCCGGGGGGTCTTGAGCCAGCTGAGACAGCCCCAGGGTCCTTCACACCGAAGGAGCCCTCCCACAGAGCGGCAGGTACCCAGTGGTTAGGAGTCTCGGGTTCCCTCATCTGTGGGAACAGGTGGTGAATTGTGCTGACCTCACATGGCGGCAGAGTGACACTGTGGACCTGCACCCTGCTTTGCAGAGAGTCGCCCACAGCGAGCTCCCATGCAGGCCTTGCTGCTGGTAGCCCGTGTCCCAGCAGTAACTGGGTGTGCCTTGGCCAAGCCGTGTGACAGCCCGGCCTCGGCGTTTCCTGGGCAGCTTTCACCACTGGAGCGGTAGGTGTACATGGGAGCCTTGGAGCTGGCTTGGGGAGAGCTTGCAAAGCCTGGTGTGCAGATTTGGACTTCATCTTCAGGAGCCGTTGAGTGGTTCTAATGGAGGGAATAATCACACAATTTTGGTGCATCGAGGAGGATGGGAAGGTAGACAAGCAGAGACCAAAGCCAGGATGGTCTGATGGACAAGCGAGGGTCAGGATGCTTGGACAAAGTCCCCTGGATGGCGGGCTCGGGGACACAGTGGGGGAAAGGAGGTGGCGGGCTGCCCACGTGTCTCGGGTTCTCTCGGCCGAGCCTGTGGGGATGGTCCTTGAGCAGGCTGGAGGTTGGTGAAGGCATGTGCTCCAAATAGATGCGTGGGCTCAAACAGCTGTGGGCCTTCAATTTCTAGGGTTCTGAAAAAGTGGATTTTAACCATTTTGCCAAGTAATCTTGTTGCATTTAGGGAAGAGCAAATCTAGAGAGGCCTAGCTCCACCATTCCAGCAAGTAAGTTTTAAACTTGTTCTTGGAATTAATTACTTGTGGACCACCCAGAAGACAGCTTTCAATGTGAGTTTGAAGACTTACGAGAGCAGCCAGTGCTAGAGAGAGGCCTGGCCCGTGCCTGGCGTGCGGGAGAGCGGTCGGGCGCCAGACGAAGGAGGCTGGAGTCCCCAGCCCCTGCTCACTCTGGGCGCTTGTGTCACCTTCCCCCCACAACCCTCCGCTGCCTCCCGTCCCTGGGGGCCGCTAGAAATGGAAGGGGTGGCCGGTTCTAGCGGGGGATCCGCATGAGGCGGGTTCCGGGGTTCTGCTGCACCTCGGACGGACAGCCTCAGCTGTGCTGCTTAGCAGTGTCTCTGACCGTCACAGGTGTAGGCGAGAGCCACCAGCAGCCAGGGTTTTGGAGGGCCGACTGGGTCAGACACCGCTGTTCCACAGCAAGCACTCGATCCTCACGGCAACCCAGTGAGGCGGGGACTGACCCCAGCGGCAGATGGCGCTGACGTTAGGACGTGGGCTTTGGAGGCAGCAGAGCTGGGGCTCAAAGCCAGGCTTTGACCATGGCGGGGTCTCTTCACTGCGTCTGCCCTGAAGTGACAGGAGGATGAGCGTGCCCTGTGCCACCTCCCCAGGTAACTGCCACAGCCGCTGAATGATCAGCCCGTAGGAAAGCGGGAGGCTTAAAGTGAAAAAACACTACACAGGAGTGCGCGCTCATTTTGCTTATATGAAAAATTAAAATTCAAGTACACAAAATCAGGAGACACTTGTGGCATCTAGGCCAAAAGGGTGAATGTTTTTTAACCTATGCCGATCTAAAGGAAAACATAGTCTCTGTTGGACAATGCAGGAAAAGAGAGAATCTGGGTCTGTTTCCAGACCAGCACAGCACTGTCCAATAGAAATATATGAGCCACAAGTGTAATTTAAGTTTTTCTAGGAGCCACAATACAAAGGAAAAATAATCAGGTGAAACTAAATAGTTTAGCCCAGTATCTCATTTCTATATGTAATGGACATTAAATATATATGTGTAAATATATATATTTACATATATATTACTCATTTTATATATATGTAAATGAGTAATTTCACTCAATCTTTGAAATCAGAGCGTCTGTTTTCTACCTCCAGCCTGTTTGTCCAGACTAACCACACCTCTGATGCTCAGTAGCCACAGGTGGCTTGAGGCGACCCCACAGTACAGCACAGGACCAGGCTATTCCTTTGATCGCCGCCGCACAGATGCTAACAGCCTTCTATCTGTCCTTCCTCACCTCATTCAGAAGTGCTAGCTCTTTGGCATGCTGTCCAGGTGCCTTTCAGAATGATCTGGGGGAAGCAATCATGGCAACCGTCCCGACATCTGAAAATAATGCATGCTGTTGGTTTGGTGTAACATTTTATGTAATCTGTGAAACCTGGCTTGTAAATTATTCAAATTTATTGTTTTTGGCACTCTCCACCCATTTTTCCCCCCGCCTGTACGATCTGTTCATTTCTAAGAAAACCACATTAAATGATTCTGCTATTGTCATGTTTTATGGTTTCTCTCAACTACTTTTATAAGTTTTGGTTACGTTGCCTAGTTTGAAAAAGCTTATGAAAGGTATTTCCTCATCAGCATTAAAATAGTTTTGGTATCCTGTTTGGTGCTTTTTGTTTTGAATTTTATATCCTTTTTCACTGTCACTTTAGGTGAGTGGCTTATAAACACATTGCTAAAATTATTTTTTAAGTGAAATCTATAAAGTCAGTAGGTGAATTTAACTTGTTAATTGTGATCACCATTACACTGTTATTTGTCATTTTGTTCATTTTCCTTTCCTTTTTTTTTTTTTTCTTTTCTCATTATTTGCTTGATTAAAATTTTCCCCCTCTAGTAAATTTAGCTTTCAGCATCTTATTTCTACGTTACCGGTGGATATCAGTTATCCACTGATAACTTGGACTTATATTTCTCTCGATTTCGCACATTTAAGACGTCATTTCTCCCTAAACATTAAGAAACTCAGCAGAATGTCAGATTTCTGTCCTTTTTCCTACAAGTGCACACACATGCACGCATCTGTGTCTCCTGGGTTTTGTTGGAACTTCTAGAATACAATTCAGAATTCCGAACTTCTCACATATACCTCTATCTCAAGGATCTTTTGACGGTGACATTAAACGTGAATGGCTCTCTTGTCCTCCCTCTGGCCCTGCATCAGCCGCTTTCCAGTGAGGACTAGCCCATGCACCTGGGTCCCGGCAGGAGGCTGTAGAGCAGAGGTGCAGCCAACCAGTGGCATGTGGTGTATGAAGCAGCAAGTGTAGTCATAGGTCTGGCCTGCGCTAGCCTGCCCTGATCAATGGTATAGTTCTGGGTCCCCAACTTTTCCTCGGAGGACTCAGAGTTCTGGCCACGGGGCCTGGGGCAGGTTCCTTGCCCTCTCTGCTCCCGTAACGCCCGTCTGTGAAACGGTGTCAGTGAGATGAGCCCTGAGGTTTGCCAGTTTTGACTTTAGACCCATGTGTTCTGCAAATCAGGGCCTTCCGTGAAGATTCCTTGAATGAGGCTGACTTGTATATTGACAAATTTTGCAAGTTATCTAGACAAGGCCTTGGCGGTTTGTCACTAGAAATAGGCCCAGTCAACATCTCGTGGGGCCAGACAGCATTTGAGAAGCCGTGGATGGCACCAGAGGGCGGACACCACCTCTCAGAGTTGGGGAGGATTTCTCCGCCCCCCTGTTTGGCTGGAGGTGGGAGTCACTGACTTTTCTCTCTCGAGCCCCACCCTCCTGAACCCACATCTTCATTTTAGTAAGACATCCAGGTGACGTGCCTGCACTTCAAAGTTTAAGAAGCACTGTGCAGGGCAGGGGTGACCCACCCTGGCTGCATATTGGAATTGCTTCTGAAGCTACAAAAGCCTGGGACCCGTTCTCAGACATGCAGATGCAATTGGCTTGGGCTGCAGCCCCGGCCCGGAGACACACAGTGGACCCCAGCTCTCGGACGTAATTCACTCCCGAAGACTGTGTGAGAAGTGCTTTGTTCCAAAACCCAAAACCCTTTGCCACCTGAGAGACGCGCACACGACCATACGGCTGTCGGCCCAAAAGGGCTGCCGGGTCCAGAGCCAAAGTTTGACCATCAAGACACTTTTTTCCATAAACAGCTTGGTCGAGAACCGAATTGTTCAAGATGGGAGACATTCGAGAGCTGAGGTTTGACTGTATTTTTTTTAAATTATTACCTTTGGAGTAAAACATAGACACTGAGGTGCATAAAGTGCACAAAGCTTAAGTGTGGAATGGGGTGCCTTTTTACACAGACGGACCTGTGTAACCATCCGCAGGTGAAGATAGAGGCGTATCTCCTGGAACCCAGGACTTCCTCTCATGCCCTTTTCTCATCGGTACCCTCTCCGCAGGTAACAGCATTCTCTTATCCCCCTAAGATTCATTTTGCCTGTAAAGGAACGTCACATGAATGAAATTGTCCACTGAAGATGCATGCTGCTTCCCGTGGTGTCTGGGATGGGTATGCCGCCGTATGAACATGCCGCGACTTATTTACCCATTTGATGTTCATTTAGGTTTCTAGTTCGTGCCATATGAATAAAGCCGCCATGATTCACTCTTGTGTTTTTAGTGGATTTGTTTTCGTTTCTCTGAGGCCCGCACCTGGGACTCCGGGGCCACGGGGTAGGAGCATGTTCAGCCTCGGTAGCTCTGTGCGTACCGAGCTGCGAGAAGGCTCCCCGGGCGACTCGGACGCGCTGCTGGGAGGGAGAACCCTGGTGCGGAGGCAGCTCTGCCGCCGGCCGCCCAGCTGCCCTTCCGAGACCGGCGGAGGTCCTCCAGCTTCGCCGGTTGCCTTCCATTCAGTCCCTAAGCTGTGTTTGTCGCTTGCCACCAGCGGGCCCTACCCAGCCAGACTTGTAGCTCAAGTGCAGCTCCTCCCGTCCCCCTGAATCCGCGCCCGTGTTACATTCTTGTCCCCTTTGTCTGTTGATGGGATGCCAGCCTCGGGCCACCGTCCCCCCCGCTGGAGCCCTCTCCTCCCACAGCAGCCCTGCTCAGACTGGCGCCCCATTTCCTCTGTGCCCTCCGGGCCACATGAACTTGTGGACGTGGTCTGTTCACGGCATCCTCTCTGTCCTGAGAGCATCACAGGGTTGACACGAAGCGGAACTGACGTAAAACACGTAAAGCACTGAGCCCGGGGCCTCGTGGAAAGAGCTCCACAAATGATGCCGAAGTGAGGCTCATAGAACCTTTCCACGTCACTCGGGCGTGACGGGCTGTGCACTGCACGGAGAGCTGCGCTGTTCGGCAAGGTAGGCGCTGGTTACAGCGGGTTAAATGCAACTCAGCCACACCTGTTTCTTTTGGTCAAGGGTGGCTGGTGGACAGATCCCTTGTGTGGCTCATGTTGTCTCTGTGGGACAGTGCTGGGTAAGGGGAGCCCGTCAGAGTGTTAACCAAATTAGGAGGCTCAGGCCATTTGCTTCAGAGTTCACCAGCAGCGCTTGTCAAAAATGCAGTGGAGATCATTTGGAGGGTTATCTGCTGGGAGGGGGAAGAGGGGGAACGCGGAAAAGGTACAGGGATTAAGAAGGATAATGGTAGGTACAAAATAGGGGGATGTGCGGAATAGTATAGGAAATGGAGAAGCCAAAAGAACTTATATGCGCGACCCATGGACATGAACTAGAGGGGTGTCGCTAGAGGGACGGAGGGTACCGGGTGGAGAGGGGCAACGGGGGAAGAATTGGGACAGCTGTAATAATAAAATGTACTTTAAAAACAATGCAAAGGGCTAAGCCCTCCCCAGGAACCCTGAAGAATGAGATTGGGGGTCTGCCATTTCAACAAGCGTCCCCGCCGCCCCCTCAAACTCGCGCCCTCTGAAATTTGAGATTCATTGTGTCTACAACTTGGGGCGATTTGATTTTCCACTTACACGGATGCCTTGCAAGGCTGCCTTGCTTTAGATTGTAGGAGGATGGAACTCCCATTTCCCATGTTAACTTAGCTGCCAGAAATGTTCAGGACTGAGTTTTGGGTTAAATTAGTGTTTACTCACTGTGTGAACTGGGGTGGCTGTTCCGCTGTCCACTGGTGGGTTGGGGTGGTCATGGCTTAGGTAAGATGTATCTGAAGGACAAACAACACTGTCTATTTGTACTGTGTAGAGTTTTTGGCGTCCAAAGTCCTGACCCCCAGTCTCAGTTCTGACCTGTGGTGGTTCAGAGGTTTAATTTCAATAAAAAGCTTACCTAAAAAAAATACAGAAAAATGCAACCACACTCCACACAAGCCATAACGTTCTTGTACCACTAGATGGCGCCACAGCACAAGTTCCTGGAAGTGTCTGCTCTTAACAGTAGTTGCCTTAGAACAGTAGTTCTCCAAGTGGTCCTCTCATTCTCAGAACTTTCCAGGAATGCAAGGTCTCAGGCCATACCCCAGACCTGCTGGATCAGAAACTGTTTTAAAACGCCACCCGGGTGGAATGATACACACTGAAGTCAGGGTCGCTGTCCCTGAATCTGCCTTGGGGACGCTTGGCTAAGTGTGAGTAGGAAGTGTGGGATAGAGGGCTTGCTGGAGGGGGCGAGGGGTGCGGTGGGGGCGTCAGGGAGGGGAGAGTGAAGGAGCAGTTCCAGACTGTCCACATCTGGGCAGAGTTCGCTCAGTCAGGGAGCAGTTACAAATCAGGGATCAGTTAAGGAACGAGACTGGGTAGTGATGTTGTACTTTTTATTATTTATTTAAAGATTTCATTTATTTTGAGAGAGAGGGGAAGGGAGGGAGAAAAGAGAGGGAGCGAAACATCATTCAGTTGCCTTTCAAATGTGCCCCGACTGGGGAACCAACCCCTGCAACCCAGGCGTATGCCCTGACCGGGAATCAAACCAGAGACCTTTGTGGGGATGACATGCCAACTAACCGAGCCACGCCAGCCAGGGCTGTCCTTTTCTATTTAGGTAAGGAATGTGAAATGGTGTCAGTTGGACAGAGGGGAAAGGGGGTCCCTGGGGAACCCCCGCTTTAGGGGAAAGGCTCTGGACCAGAAGCAGAAACCGGAGCCTGGCCGAGCTCTGCAGGACCCCGCAGCCGGCCTACGTGCCCACTGTGGCTGTTTGTTTCTGCGTATTCTGAAATTTCACCAAAGCACCACTGTGCTCATGGACTAAAATTTTGCAAACTTCCCAAGACAGTCCAGGAAAATGGATGCTCAGACATCAAACAGAAGCTTGAGACTAGGTAGAAAACTCACTAGTGAATTAAAACCTTATTTCTATCTTTCCAATCCTGTCTGTATCCTAAGGGGAGGCCAGTGCCAGAATGAACTCGTGTCTTTTCATTTTCTTTTCCTGACAGACAAAAATTCCTTTTGCAGGTGGCTACTGAGCCTTCAGAGGGGCAATGCATCATGCAAATAATTTTTTCTGCTATGACGTGTACAGTTTAGTTTGATTTATTTTTGATGTCAGAAACAAAATGGAAAGTTAACACTTTAAAAATGAGCATGGCTGGCTGAATAAATAAATAATATGCTCTTGGCCAGAACCTGCCGGTGCCTCCTTAATTGCTCATTGATTCTTTAATTCTCTGCACTTTAACATCTACAGAAATTAAGAGGCCACA